AAATAAAGCTCAAAAGAGTCCTTTCCCAATGAGAGCAAGCAAAGGTTTTGTCCAATTGTATGATTTGTGTGCAGATTTTCTCAATTCCAATGCAGTTTTAATCGGTTGTTTCCATTTTGCTTTCCCTTGAAGGTGCCAAAATTGTTGCCCCACATATATTAGATTTGAGCAGAAATTTTGTGTAAACAAAAACCTCAATGCATTACCTATGATGACTGTGTGGAGCTTGTCTGTCAGTTCTCAAAGCAAGCAAAGCGTTTGCTTGTGATAACTAGCAATTTTTTTTTGCTGCACAGTGAAACTGACTGAATGTTCACCTCTAACCAAAGAAAGTCGAGTTTAAGGTGTAGTCTGCCTGCACGCAATGTTCCTAGTGATGGACTGATTGTTTTCCAGATTGAGCCCAGCAGTGTAAAAAATACAGACTCTTTGACATTAAGGCTGTTTGGGTATTTTAAAATCTGTCCCTTGGATTTCCCTCGAAACCAGTATCTTAAAATTTTCTCCAATTATAGTGACTCCAATATGGAGAAAATGAATACTATGGGAGCTTTTATAAGGCTGTGATCTTCTACAGAGATCCAGATGTCTCATGAGAACAAGGCTGATATGTTTTATCGCTAACTGAACTCTGAACGTTATTTTGAAATCAGCCCCTGTAGTTGCAATATAAGCATAGTGTCAGCAGTATTGCAATAATGTTGGGGAGGGGTCTATAGTTCTTGTTGCACAAGAAAGTGTGTGTGATACTTTATTGAAAACAAGCAGTAAGTGAAACATTGTGTACAAGCAGTATAATTCAAATTGGTTTTGACAGATGGCTAATGAGCAAGACTATCACATATGTATTCCACCTATACATGGAAATTCCCGTGACGGGAATGGAATTCACACTCGTGCTTTACCTAAATCCGGAGAGTATTGGTTGCAGGTTGGCGAGAATGTGTGTTGGGGTAACTGCTGGAGTCAAACCAGTTAAAACCATACATCTTGCCATTCAAAGCCGAGTCTGGCAAACTCCTTCTCCTAGTTCAGCTAGGACCACCTTACCCATTAGGTCTGGCCAATAGGATTCTGTCTGGAGTAGTCACACTATCAGTAATCCAGAGTGTAATTGTGGTATTTATTGACAAGAAGGAAGACTGAGAGCTACTGAGGAATCTCACTGATGTCAATGGCTCTTAAGGTGATATCTCGTGTAGTCATTTCATGCATATCAGAATCAATTGGGAAGTGTAATCCAGAAGGAACAGACTGGATTCGGTTTTTGAGTGGAGTCTGTGCTACAGGTTGTGACTTTCTGTGCAATCACGGAGACCCAGGGGAAAGATTCATTGATTTCCGTAAGCTTTTGACCTAGTTGCTCATGAAGCCTCGTAAAAAAGTTTGAAGCTATGGCTAAATCTTGAATTTGTCTGGGATGCTGAGCTTAAGGTGCACAGCACAGATTTTTACATTCCAAAATCCATGTAAAAGTTTCTGGGAGATTAATCGATCCTATCCCTATTGTGCAATGGTAAAATCAAGGCCAACCTTAAAAGGGCAGTTCCAAGATGAGTGGCGGTTGCTGGCATTCTCTGTCCCTTCCCTCAGAGTAACTTTGAGGAACATAACATTTATGGGGTCAACCTTCACATGTTTGCGAATGATACCCAGCTCTCTGCCTTCACCCCCGACTTCAGGACAGAATGTCTGTCAGACATCAAGTCCTGGATGAGAGCTAACTTACTTCCAGTTGAACGCCAACAAAACCGAGCCCCTCCTGATTGGCTCCCATCAGCACCTCCACACCTCGGGCACTGACAGCAACACCATCTAAGGATGCACACTCCTCCTCACTGAGCCAGTCGAGAAATTTGTTGTTTTTTTTCACCCTCAACTGTCCTTTCTACCCCACATCCGTGCCATGACCCACTCTGCTTTCCCCACCTCTGCAACGTCGCCCAACTGCCCTCACTCTTCAGGCTGCCGAAGCCCTCACCCACACATTTATTACATCTAGGCTTGACTAGGCCAACTCCCTGCTTGTCAGACTTTTCAACTCTTCCCACTACAAGCTGCGGATCAGCCAGAACTCTGCAGCTCGTGTCCTCTCCCACACCATGCTCTGTGGCCCTAGCACCCCAACCCTCGCCCAGCTCCACTGCCTCCCAATCCTACAAAGGATAGAGTTCAAAATCCTCGCACTCAAAGCCCTCCACGGCCTTGCTCCTTCCTTGCACCGCCTCCTGACCCAGTCCGCTGCTGAACGCTTGCCCTGTCCACAATATCTGTTATAGTGCAGTTCGTCTGCCCTGCAGGAGCTTCATATCCTTATTTGTCTGAAAAATCCTTTGTTTTTTGAGACATTGTAAGATAAATGCTTTGATGCTTATAAAGGTAGAGTATTTCCTTTAGTATGTGGACCAGAGGAGAGTCTGCTCCAAAGCACATGTTCTTCCTTGAATATTTGTTGCTCGGAAAGAGTAGATGACCATCGTAGCGACAGTCCAGTCAATGACAGACTCATTTTTTGGGTTGAATTCATGACTCAGTACAAAGCTTTTGCACAGTATGGCACAGGCCAAATTTCACACGTTAGTTTTCCTACTTATCCCCTGGGCAACTCTGTTCTTTTATATATGGGCATATTCAAATGCACTTTGAGAAAACTAGCACTTCCTGAACTGGAATTTGGAAAGCACTAGTTAGACTTAAGGGGATCTGTAACATGCCACCACAGCACAACTCCTCAGCCTTTGTGATCCTAGCAATGATTTATGCAATGATCTATTACAAATCACTTCTCGCCCTAGCACCTCCCTACTTCTCCAATCTGCTCACACCCCAAACCTCTACCTGCCCCCTTCGCTCGGCCGGCTCGAGCCTTCTACATGACCACCAACCCCACTGCTCCACCAATCATGTCTGTGCCTTCAACCCCTTTACACCCTGAACCTATGGAACTCGCTAAGTACATGGTTTATAAAGATAAGACTTGTGTGAGTTTTACTGTATTATCACAACCTGTAGCACAAGCCGATTGTCAAATAGTGAATATCAGGGATGGCATTTTGTTGCAGTTGGACGGTGTTCAGCTGCAGGCATTTTGTGAAACTCTCAGTGAGGGGTAAGTGGGCTCCTGAGACTTCCCACGTTGCAGAAAGGAATTAGTCCTCTGTCTCCTCATCATCTTCCTGTTTTTGGTTGCTGTTTTGAAGCTTGAAGTCGGATCTACATTTAGATTTTCTTTAGTGTTGATGTTCATGTACAATCATTGCTGGAAGCAGGTGAATGAAGCTGCTGAGTGTTTGGTCACTGGAGCCTGTTTGTTTTTTAAAACACTGAACTCCAGAACTTTTCGTTTGCCAAAAAAAGTTAAAGATTAACCAGAGGAATTTAATGTGGAAATAACCAAAATAACCTGGTGCTGATCCACAAGCATGTGGAAGTAAAGAGACTCTTGCATCTTGGCTCCAAAAGACCAAATGATAATAATCCTTGCACTTTGATATAGCGCCTTATCAGGTCTTCGAGACGTCTCAAGCGCTTCACAGAATATACTGTAAAAGTGAATTGACTTCATTTTGTGGGCGAAACTGGATACGATAATGGACAGAGAGACCAGCAAAATCTGGTGCCTGAAGCGGAAAGGATGTGTACAGGCTACAACAGAACTCTTCAACTGGTCCAAATTGTTGTGCAAACTGGAAAGTAATTAATCTCTGACAGTTGCGGACGGATATTCCAAACTTTGCAAAACAAAATAATTCAGTCTTTTCCTCCCAGAACGTACTGTGGGAGGAATGGACAATATTCTAGTATTCTGTCTCTTAACTGTACACGTTTTACTTAATCCCACTGAAAAGATTGTCAGGAAGTAAGATTCAGAGTGTCAGAATCGAGCCCACCAGCTGTGGCGGTCTCCAGTCCAGTTCCTGAGCTCGGCAGGTCTGCAGTATTCCAGGGCACTGCTAATGATAGCCCAGCCTGGCGTATTGGCAGGACTTGGGGCAGACCAGAATGTAGGGTTAGGGACTCTTTCCACTCAGTCAAAGTGTAATTACAGTGGCGGAAAATGCCGGTAATGTATTGACTGGCATTTTCTGGCACTGCATATGCATTTCTGCCGCTCTAAACCAAAAGAGTAGCTATTCACCCATGTGGACACTGAACGCCAGACAAAGGCCAGTGAGGCGAGAAGCTGTGGGCATCATGCAGGCCACTCAGCGAGCACTGGCTGGGTTGGTGGGAATTCTTTTTTTTTAAAACATTAAAAATTTTGGTTTCAGGCCCAAGGTTTGAATTCCAGATACCCGGAGTGGGGTAAGTTGGGGGTTACGTATACAGTCCTGCACAAAAAAGAACATCTCAAAGCTCTTGAGAAATATGGAAGAGGACACCAAGCATAGAAAGTAGGAGGTGTGCTGTAGGCTGTGGATGTTAGACCAAAGGCACAATCAGAGTGATACGTTTTTAAAGGAAATTTAGAGACCTATAGCTTTGTGGTTAGAGCACTCGCCTCACAAGTGAGAGGACCTGGGTTCGATTCCAGGGTGAAACATTGGGTAAGTTTCCTTACTCTGCATGCCTCCGTTTACCTAGCAGTAGGTAGGAACCTGGATTTTAGTTGATTGGCAGCTCACGTTTCCAGGGATAATAATCTCTTTTTGAAAAATAAAGTGGTCACTCAATCCACGACTCTTTGCAATTGACTGCCTAGTTTCGCCCACAAAATATACAGTCAGTTCAGTATATTCTGTGAAGCACTTTGAGATGTCTCGAAGACATTATAAGGACCTATATCAGATGCAAGGATTATTATTATAGGGAGGTTGTAAGGCATTGCATCAGTCTGGCTCAGTTGAAATTAGAAGGTTGTGACACAAGTGAACTAAGCGGATGTAAAATGGAGACTAATATTCTACATCAAAGTTATCTTGTAAGCGGTTAAAAAACATGTTAACCATTCGAATAATAGAATTGGTTTAAAATATTACATTTCTGTTTTTTTATGCCAGATTGCTGCTAAAATAGATGCTGGGTCACATCTGAACAATTCTACTCCTGTGGTCGATCCTGCAATCTATGGTTATGGGAGTCAGAAACGAACACTGGATGATGGGGGTAAGACGCTATGCTGCTGACCAAATTCTACCTGCGTTTAGTTGCTCGCTGATGTAGAGTTCTTTTCTTTGCTATCTCAAAAATGTCACACTGATTACGGACCACTTGCTCAACTTTTCCATTTTACTGGAGCCTTCATCTCAGACTAGGCTGGTAGTGCAGTACTGGGGGAGCATTGCATTATCAAAGTTGCCATCCTTTGGATGAGATGTTATAATAATAATAATAATAAATCTTGCATTTGATATAGCGCCTTATCACGTCTCCTAGATGTCTCAAAGCGCTTCACAGAATCGGCTGTAAAGTGAATTGACTGTATATTTGTGGGTGAAACGCAGCAGCCAATTGTGCACAGCAGCGTCCCGCAAACAGTCGTGGATTGAAAATGACCAATTTATTATTGTTTATTGTTTTTTGGAGGGATTATTATTAGGCGTGTGGAGTAAGGAAAATTGCCCAAGATTTCGCTCTGGCTGGAATTGAATCCAGGTGTCTTGCTTGCAAGGCGAGTGCTCTCACCACTGAGCTACAGGACTCCACTGTTAAACTGAGGCCCTGTCTGCCGGTTCAGCTGGATGTTGAAGATCTTATGATAACTTTGGCCATTCATTCATTGATTCATTGCTGTTTGTGGGACATTTCTATAAGCAATTTATCTACCACCTACGAAATACATTCACTGCACTCCACAGTAAATTGTGTGAAGCACTTTGACGGGTCCTTGAAACTAAGGTCATTGCAGCTGCAATGTGCTGGGAATGGAATGCGGATAAGGACCGAACATTTTTCTGCCTTATGCTGAGTCAATGGCTTTGGCGCTGGCCAAGAAGGAACATTCTAAGAGGGTAACTGGGCAGTACTCGTATACTTTTAAATGCCTAGCGTAAGGCTATTTGTAGAAGCCTGAGAATAGATTACCCATGTCTGCGGCTGATGCATAGAATGAGAAGACAAAGAAAAAGAATATTTGACACTTCCCTTGAGATACTTGATAACTGTCCATTCTGAAATAACCTTGTATCCTCCAGTTCCTCTTAGAAAATACAGCAACTTACTATGAAGAATCAAAGGGTTAGATGTTTGTAAGGCAAGCCGGGCTGACGGGTGAGACTGTACTTCAATTTTCAAAAGCTTAATATACAGGAGATTCGGTGTGCGTGTTGTCCTCTTATTCAGAAAAGAGGTGACACAAGCCTGGAATTGGTCAATAAGTTAGCCTAAGATCTGTAGTGGGAACCTCTGCATTTGACTGAGTCAAAAGATGTCATTTTGACCCAGTATAGATCTCTGGTGAGGTTCATGTGCCATATTGGGTGCAATTTGGTCATCTGACCTTTTCAAAAGGGCATTCAAGCGGGTTCAGTGAATAAGAACAAACTTGCAACAACAACTTGCATGTACATAGTGCTGATCATGCAGGGTAGCATTTCGGAGAGTTTTACAAAATAGCTTTACAAAATTGGTTTCAAGTTCCTGATGTGAGGTTGACCCCACAACCTTCTGACTCGGAGGCAAGAGGTCTACCAACCAAGCCAGACTGACAGCTGGCATCCGCTTAAACCAGATTGTACTTTAAAGTTTAATTTGAATATGTGAGGTCCTTCGACTATAAATTGGCAGAACACTCTCCAATTTTAATACTATTATTATTATTGCCTCCAGTGTCATAGAATCATAGAAATTTATAGCATAGAGGGGGGGATATTGGCTGACTGAGTGTCTAGGGCTCTCTGAGCAGGCCACCAGCTTGGCTACTATCTTGTATCCTAAAAGAAATTCTGCACCCCTATATTGTATAAGGCACTGGAGGCAAAATGTTCACTGGGGAGGTAGCCATGTGCGAGGAATTAGCCTGGAGGGTGGGGAGCCCAGAGTTTAGCTCAAGGGCAGTAAATTTATTTCAGGTACATTCTAATACTGGTGCTTGTGTACTTGTGTGTTCCATTGACCACCAGAGCTGCTGTGTTTTCTATCCCATTTCACCAAAGTTCCACCTTTATCACTTGCTTCTGTTTGTGCCTCACTAATGTGTGTGGATGGAGAAGCAATGGACAGAGCCAGTTGGTGGTCTATTCTTTGACACCTCCCAGCTGTTGCAACTACTAAGCATATCTGAACTGCTGACCAGCTGGTCATGGGTGGTTGGGAGCAGTTTTTCTTTGGTCAGTAAAGAATTCCTCCTCCTCCCCTTCCCCACCCCCAAATAACATTCTTTCACTTCAGTGCTAAACTACTTATAAAGGCAGGTGCAATGAGATCCAGATCTGACTGAACTATAGCATTTCCTTTCGGAACGTAGAACAGAAATGAGCTTCGTCCTTGACTCCATAATGTATATAACTCCATACTTGGAATGCGCACCATCAAAATAGTAATGGTCAAATCGAGGTTTGTGGTATGTTAAACTCAGTCTTACGTGGCAGTCTTCAACGATTTTCCTGGGATGTGGGGCATTGAAAGTTATTACTGGGCCCGAAAATTAAATAATAAATAATCCTTGCCTTTGGTATAGCACCTTATTAAGTAGGAAGGGCATCTCAAAGCGCTTCACAAGATTTACTGTGAGGTGGAGTGACTGCATATTTGTAGGCAAATGCGGCAGCACCGTTTTGCACAGCAATGTCCCATAAGCAGCCATGGAGTGAGTGACCAATTTTATTTGAGATGGTTGGACAGGACACCGGGAGAGAGAAACACTGTTCCCTTTTCGAACAGTGCCATGAGCACATCTTTTAACGCCAACAGGATGGTGAGAATTTTTAGGAAAAGAAAATCTGATCCCATTAGAAAATTATTTTCTTGTAAGCGCTCGCTCCTCCCACCCGTTTACTGTGCGTCTCCGTCAGCGTATGTTGGGAGGGGATTGTGGTGTGTCTGAGGTTTATTGAAGGCCATTAGTTGGGCAAAGTAATCCGTTCAATCATATCCTGGCTTACTGATGCCCTCCAGCCAGGTCTCTGCTCAGTTTAATAACATATGCTCCCCCTCCCCATTGTTGGCCCAGTGCAGTGGATTACAGAGGGTTCCCTGTGTGAAATGTATTCATCCTTCAATTCTCTTCACACTTTTGACATTTCTTTCTATTTACCAGTAGGGAACCAGCTTGGGGCCATGGTACATCAAAGGTAGGCATCAGTTTTGTACATTTAATGTCTGCGTGTAAGATTTCTTTTGAAAGTGCTCCTGGTGTTTCATTTACTGTTTTTGCTACCTCAATGTAAACCTGAATTATGTTGTTTGGTTTAAAATGTTGTTTTTTTTTGGCTTGTGAACTATCCCGTTTGTTTTGCCTCTCCTGTACCCAAGTACCTCTTCCAGCCAGAATGTTCCCCTGTGTATATATAACCGACCAGCTCAGGCCAGACCTGCCCCTGCTAAAGTGGCATGCACAGAGTTATCATGCGTCATTTAGTGTATTATGGGCCACATGTTGTATAACTGGGGCGGGATTGTGTGTATATTGCAGTCGGTTCCGAGGGACATCGATAAACTCTTGGGCTGAGATGTTTGCGCACCGATTCGGTGAGTCTTGAGGGATAGGTTAAGGAGGTCAGAGCCGCAGGAGAGAAACGTTTATGGGAGCCAAGGAGTACGGCTTCCATCTTGTCAACATTTAGCTTCAGGAAGTTTGTGCTCAGACTAACTGACAGAACATCGGTCGACCTGGAGTCGTAGCTGGAGGAGGAAAAGTAGATTTGTGTGTCATCCGCACACGTGTGGAAGTTGACCCCGTGAATGCGGATGACATCGCCAAGAGGAAGCATGTAGATTAGGAAGGGGCCAAGGATAGAGGAGGCCCGCCACAGATGACTGGGCAGGTGGGGGAGGAGAACAGTTTGTAGAGACGGTTTGTTTAGTAGGATTCTAACCAAGCGAGTGGGGTCCCACTGAGCTGGATGAGGGAGGAAACACGGTGGATGAGGATAGCGTAGTCGATTGTGTCGAATGCAGCTTAGAGGTCCAGGAGAACAAGGAGGCAGAGGGACCCTGAGAGAACAAGAGGACGTTGTTTATGATTTTAACAAACTGTGGGCATGTCGGAAACCAGACTGGAGGAGGGAGAGGTGTGAACAAAGCTGACTTGCAACAATGCATTCCAGAACTTTAACAAGGAAGGGCAGGTTAGAAATGGGATGGTAGTTTATGAGGTTAGAGAGGTTGAGGGTGGCTTTTTTGAGGAGGGGAGTGATGATAGGTTTTAAGGGGTAGAGGAACAGAGTCTGAGAAGAGTGATTAGTTGACTCTAGTCGGCCAACAAAGGGAAGGGGGGTGGGGGGGGGAGTTGAGTGACCAGCAACTAGGTGGGGAGGGGGTCGAGGCAGCAGGTGGTGGCCATAATTGTGGAGGTTTTCATGATCCCAGGAAAGATGAATAGAACCGCACATAACTTGTTTATATACGGTGGAAGCCGCTTAAGTCGGACGCTCGTCCATTCAGACTCCCATCAATTCACAAGCGGCTCCGGGTTGTCAATCAGTGAGTGGGCGGAGGAGTAGGGAAGAAATGATGAAGGGAATGGAGTCCAAAAAGGTGGCCCCCGATGTGTCCAGCTTAAGCAACTTCCACTGTCCTCCATTCTCTAAATCGAGATATTGTTTCCTCTCGTTTTAGAATAACATCTTTGAATTTCTCTTTCAGGACCATAATGTCTGAAGAGTATAAAGTGCCTGACAAAATGGTTGGATTCAGTAAGTACAAATCCAAACTATACTTTGCGTACTTTGAGATGTTTTGATGTGCTTGGAAATTCAACCACAAGTACTGTTGTGGAATTAGCTGAGCACCAATCTGTTGGTAGAGAATAGTTCTTGCTACTGTTTTTCCATACTTGTGAGGGAATGCCTACTTCAATTGGATTGTTTTCAACAGGCCTGGTAATGGGTTGCCTATCTATTTTTTAATTTATTTTTATTTGAAGAACAAAATAAATGTAAACTTCAGTCACTTCTAATACCTACCTGCTTCATATCCGCTGACTCACTTTGTTGTTGGAGGTGCCTTTAGCCACTATGCCTTTTCCCTCTGGAACTCTCCCTCAATCCCTCCTTCTCACCCCTTTCTTTACCTTTAAATCCTATTTTAAGACGTTCCTCTTCGACCGTGCATATTGTCAGCAACTCCTCTCCCTTCTCAGCACCACTGCATTGCTCAGATGCTATCCGAGGATGAGGATGCTAGTATGTTCATTTACCCGTCCCAGGGAAAATGGGTCATTTCTACACCGTGAAGTACTGCAGTTTGACTCTTTAGAGTTGCAACTTGTGTCGTAGGTTACAGTGGAGACGGGATTATGTTCGAGTCCAATATTTGTTTCACTCTAATCCAGTTATTATTGTTGCAGAATTTTCAAGTTGACTGATTTTTTTGTCCTTAATATCTTGCTATGCACAGTCTACCATGAACATGAAAGATTAGATTATTAAGACATGGCACATATAGCCTTGTGTAGCCAAACTGAGGATGCAATCTTTTGTACATTGCTACTGTGACCCTGTCAACCTGCTACATAAGAACATAAGAAATACTAGGCGAAAAAAAGACCAAGGTCCATCTAGTCCGCCATCCCACCTTCCTGCCGATCGCATGCACATATGTCTCAAACTACCCATGTACTATATCCCATAATGTTATTTCCTAAAAGAAAACTATCTAATCTGTGTTTGAAAATATCAGCTTTAACCATCTCCCTAGGGAGCCTGTTCCACAGGTTCACTATTGCTCACTGAAATGTTTGCATAGATTCGTTCGATCGCAGGCCATATCCTCTGGTTTTACTATGCTGGACAAGTTGAAGCAGCCTGTCACAATCTATATTGTTTTGTCCCTTTAGAATCCTAAAGACAAGAATCATGTCACCTCTCAATCTTCTCTTTTCCAGCGTGAACATGCCCAACGTAGTTAGTCGCTCCTTTTAATCCAGTCCTTCCATTCCCTCAATCATTTTGGTTGCCCTCCTCTGTATCTTCTCGATTTTTCCAATATCCTTTTTGTACTGCAGCGACCAGAACTGTCTGTGCACGGAACTCTTAAGTATGGTCTCACCAATGATTTATACAGTGGCAGTTTGTTGACTAACCGATTCCTCTGTTCTCTAGTAATTGGCAGGGGAGGTGAACAGATATCACGGATACAGATGGAATCTGGCTGCAAGATTCAGATTGCACCTGGTAAGTATCTGCTGGAGTTAGGCTTCGTCTTAAGCTTCAGTCTCTTGACACCACTTCTACATTCACAGTACTTTGAAATAAAACACTTGTCAAGTCATAAGCAGTTGCTGTGTTTGTATTGTGAAAATCATTGTATTGATATTGTAAGACGAATAGTGACCACAATCGATCACAGTATTGTGTAGTATTTTGCCCACAAAATATGCAGTCAATTCACTTTCCAGTATATTCTGTGAAGCGCTTTGAGACGTTTCGAAGATGTGATAAGGCACTATGTCAAATTATTATTGTGTAATATTGAGTTTCTAGCAGAGGGTGTTGTTTTTTTCCTCTATTTGTAACTTATTTCCTGTTCTAATTTTCTTCTTTCTTCCGTCAAGACAGCGGAGGTCTCCCCGAACGGTCCTGCACATTAACGGGTTCTCCAGAGAGCATAGAGTAAGTGCCTTCCCTGTCTCATGAAGATGTTTTCAGTTGTAAACTACTGTAAAATCTGGTGTACAAGTTGCACCTTCATACATATTTTTATGTCCTCTTAATATAGGGGAATCACTTATAGGGATACTGGTGCAATTTGTAGGGCTTTTGCTGAAATGACATCCATAAAATAGGAGAGCAACTTATAGACAGGTACAATTTATAGTCTGGATTTTACGGTAAACTCTTCAGGGTTTGCCTAGGGACATATGTTTCTGTTACAGGATTTGTGTGTTTGCCTATAAATCACTTCATGCCCTGACACTTCCCTACCACTCCGACACTTCTCTACGCTCCACTAGCTCAGACCTTCTGCATCTTCACTTTTAACAGTTGATTGTAATGTCCCTGCATGGCCCATGAAGTGTATTATGTCTGGATTCTGCCAATGCTGCTTTTGAGCTACCTACTTGGAGACCTACCAACTCACCTGTCAGGTTTTCTCCAGTGTCCCTTAACGCTGCAAGGTATCACCAGCCAAAGATTGGTGGTTAAGCAGTTGTTGGGCCTCTGTATTGATGTGGGGAGATTGAGCTGATGGATTCAGATCTTTCAGTAAAGAAGCTAAGAGTTAAGATTCGACAAATCTTTGTATTTTTGCCAGATCAACTCTGCTCACTAGCAGTAAAACTAGGCTTTGTAGCAGAGGGTTTTGGTTATGTTAGCCTGATACCGTGACATTCCTGTAGGGTATTTTGTTGAATGTAATTTAATTACTGCAGTCATGAGAGCTAGCATGAATTGTGTAGTTCTGTGAAGTACTTTTGAGATTTGAGCTGGCTAATCGCTGTGATGTGCTTGTTAACCAGAGAAGCGAAACGACTCCTAGGACAGATTGTGGATCGGTGTCGGAATGGCCCGGGTTTTCACAACGATATGGATAGTTCAAACAGTGCTATACAGGAAATTCAAATCCCAGCCAGCAAAGTTGGTCTGGTCATTGGCAAAGGAGGAGAAACTATTAAACAACTTCAGGTAAGAAATCCATTCCAGCAAATTTTTCTGCTCCTAAAAACTTATTTTATCTGTACACAATCTCGAACATCCAGAATGGCAACTCTTCTCTAACTTATCAAGGCTTTGAGGGGATAGCTTAATACTGGCAATTGACCTGTTATCTTTAATTCCCTACCATGGTACTCCAGGAGACTCACTAAGGATTATTATGTTTGACGTACCAGCTTGCTTGTTTTCTGGTCCCCTCCTGATTTTCAGAATCACTTCACTGGTTCTTAACCATAGCTCTCCAAGATGCTACCCCACAGAAAGAGCATTATAAAAATGCAAGTAGTAGTTGTTGTAGTGGAAAACTTGCTGTTAGTGATGGCTTGTGAAGTATTGAATTGCACCTCAATGTTTGCCTAGTGGGAACCTAAATTATTTTTTTACGGGAAAGGTGTGTAAATGGGTATAAAGAAACTACTGCTGAAGATTTAAGAGAAACAATTGTGTTACCCATCCAAGGGCTGAGAGAAGATTCTGCTTCTGTGAGGAAGCAATTCCTGACAAAGTGGAAGAGAAAAGCGGCCTGGGCTGACGGGGAGGCGGGAGAAACAGTTCTAGGGAAGAGAAAAGAGGCCTGGGCTGACGGGGAGGCGGGAGAAACAGTTCTAGGCTAAATGATACCTTGCACTTATCCAGCACCGTTCACATGAAGAGAAGGTCTCAAAGAGCGAGCCAATGCAAGCCTCAGCTGTGAGAGATGGGAGGCGACCGAATGCTCGGTCGGTCAATGAGAGTTTTTAAATTGACTTTGAAAGCAGGGACAGAGTTGGGGGGATTTAGTAAGTAGAGACATCCAGCGAGGGGGGCAAAGTGGCTGGCATCTCACCCGCCTGGTGGTAGGATGGAGTGGGCAGGGTGCATGGAGCAGTCCACAATAGGACTGAGAATTGTTATGCAGGAACATGCAGCAAAAGTAGCCAAAGCCAGTATTGGCTGAGTGCTGATGTCTTTGAGTTCATGGTTCAGCGGGTTTGTACAGGCGAGGCATAGTTATCTTTAGCTCTTGTATATAGTGGTGTCCTTGGATTTGTTGGGTTGAAGTCTACTGAGTGTGGCATGGGCACTGTTGACTTGCAGCAATCCTCTGGTATGTAACTGTTCAATTTGATACATCAATGGCAAAGCCTCATGATTAGGAGCCACTTGGCCCTGTATTGAAGAGAAGATGGGTTTGCATTGTAAATTCATGATAGTGTTTAAACCAGGGTTAAAGTGGTCTAAACGCTACTGCACATCAACCTAGTCTGATTGTGGAAATGACTGGTGCTTTGCGAGTTCCAGTATTCAACTTTTACTGCGCATTAATCATGCCCACCGTGTCATTATCCTGTCGTTGAAGATTAGAAACTTCCTACAACTAGATGTCAGTTATGACTAGACAGTACATCTGTAGCCGTGTGTGTGCTTTTGACTGACAAGTGGAGTGTCACACTGTCTGCAGACCGGTCGCTATATTAATAGTTCAACTTTGTTCCAGGAGAGAAATGGTGTAAAAATGATCATGATTCAGGATGGGCCACTTCCAACAGGAGCAGACAAACCACTGAGGATTACAGGAGAATCTTACAAAGTCCAGGTGAGTTCTGCACAGTGTAGTTTATTTAGTGCAAGCGTCTGCCCTGGCATTGAAATGTTGCACTGATCATCTGATGTGTGAGCAGTAAAGGAATACTGGATTCCTGTCAGTAACTTACTGATGAATATTTTGCATCTAATAATATGGTAAAATTACATAAAGCTTTGGTGCTGGCTGAATGAGTGCATTTTGCCCTGTAGCATTCTGGGGTCAACTTATGCTTTCAAAACAGACAGTTTATTTTGTGCTATGTCACACACCAGTCCTTTGCCAGTGTGAAGCAAATCTTAGCAGGGCCAGCTCATGTGAAGTGCCTGCTGCAGGCACCCGTCGTATGGATTGACTTGCTTTTCCACATTTGGAAGTAACTGTGCTGAAGTCCTTGCCAGCAGCCAGCTAAGCTCAGGGCTTTAAGTGTTTTTCAGGAGAGGAAAATAAATTTGTCTTCTGCTCTGTGACAGATCAAGTTGATGCATTGCATGACTTGCCTTCTATGTTCAGCAGAAGTTCCTTGCACTGCTATTCTGATGGTGTAGACATCCCTTTGCATGTCTCTTGTTTGTAATTCTGCCTTTACCTGCCATTGAAGATGTGCAAATGTGTATTTTCCCTGTTAACTTGACTGGCTTGCAAGCTGGAGTGGATGCCTGATGCTCACAGAAACTATATTTCCAGGAGCTGACTGGTGTATGTTAAAACAGATTGCTATTTGCTCCAGTAACCTTGATGATTTTCTTCCATTCCCTCCTCCAGCTAGCGAAAGAGATGGTCTTGGAAATAATCAGAGATAAAGATCAGGGTGATTTCAGGCGGAATGAATTTGGTTCCAGAATGGGAGGCAATAGTGTAGATGTAAGTACACATTTGTGTCTTTAGGCTGGTGTTTGTGGTTTGAGTGATTTATTTTGCATGGTTTCACTCCATTTCAAAACTACTTTCACACACATTAAAGCAGCTGTGGCAGCAATCTGACCTTTCATGCTGGCAACCTGATTGGAGTCCTGTAGCTTAGTGGTTAGAGTACTCGCCTCGCAAGCGAGAGGACCTGGGTTTGATTCCCGGGCAGGGCGAAACCTTGGGCATGTTTCCTTACTCCACACGCCTCTGTTTACCTAGGAGTAAGTAGGAACCCAGTTGTTAGTCGATTGGTGGATCACTTCCGGGGATAATAATCCCTTCAAAAAAAAAGGGAAAAAATATGGTCACTTAATCCACGACTGTTTGTGGGACAATGCTGTGTGCAATTGGCTCCCGTGTTTCGCCCAGTTGAGCGGAGGCAGCGGGTAGTGGGGTGGAGAGTAAGGAGGTCGGAGACATAGGGAGATGCCAGGCCATGAATTGATTTAAAGACGAAAATCTTGAAATCGATCTGTTCGATAGGCAGCTAGTGGAGCCTGGCTAGCACTGGTGTGATGAGGGTCCAGAATTTAGAATGGGTGAGGAGGTGGGCAGCAGAGTTTTGGATCAGCTGGATTTTGTGGATGATGGAGCTGGGGAGATGTGCGAGGATGGTATTTGAATTGAAAAGTAGGTTTATTTCCAATTAAGTGGCTCTATGATCCCTCCCCACATTGCGGTGGGCACAAATCATCTGGTGACCACCAGAGAGGATTTGCCTAATAGTGTACCAAGTATTTAGTTGTTGTTCTTAAACATCCCACCACCCATCACCTGAGTCCTCATTGAAAGGATTGATTTCAACACCCTCACTTTCACACGTAAAGCTGTTATCAGGCTGCAGTCGACCGATGACCATTTAACTGACCTGAAACTTAGCAGTTAGTCGTATGGGTGGGATTCTAACCCTGTCCCTTTGCTCTCAGGTGGCTGTACCTAGGTTTGCTGTTGGTATTGTAATAGGAAGAAATGGTGAAATGATCAAAAAGATTCAGAATGATGCCGGTGTAAGGATTCAATTTAAACCAGGTAAGGATTTGTGATGGGATTTGATTCATGACTTTTTAGATGCTGATATGCCTACATTTTTGATTGCATGCTTAAATATTCTCCCCAGCTTTCCATTTTCCTCCAGAGCTCAGCCATGATTCAGCTGAGCCTCTGCAGCATTATTTCAGTTTGTCTGGATGCTGAAGCCAGAAGCTCTCAATAAAGGCCCACACGACTGTGGTGACGTTACCCACTCGGCAGGAAGGGAGTGAAATATCATCATCATAATAATCCTTACATCATAACCTTCTGACTCAGAGGCAAGAGCACCACCAGCTGAGCCTGGCTGACACAATGTCGCTAAAATTACTGAATGCTCTTTCACCTCCAAGCTCCTCCTATCAGAATAGATTTCTGATTTTAATGGAACATTAATTTTAAAGAAATCCTTGTGCAGGATTAAACCTGAGCGTAGGATTAAAATGCCTGCCACAACACTGATTTAAAGAACTTGCCCAAATAGTTTCAACTCAAAACAGTCAACCTAAGCCTCCATTTCCCTTTAATTAATGAGTAGTCATCATTTCAACTTTGATTTCTCCAGAAATATCAGCCTTACCAACTGGGAGTGACGCAGTCCAAAGGCTGACAGGCCTGTGGTGTAGAGTCGGACCCATGTGGGAAACTGACAGCTAATGGAGAGTGAAGTAATCAGGATCGTTCATTAGCTACATTTCAGAGGCTGTCAGGTGGGGCGAGGTACAAAGAGGTCCAGAGATGTGTGCACACCAGTCACAGAAAGTAATTTGAGTGCTAATGAGGGCTGGGCTAACATGAGAGATAGAATGTATAGAGCAAAGAAGTACAAACAGCATAAATTGGTGGAACAGGCTCGATAGGCTGAATGGCCTCCTATTCCTGGTTTCCTAGGTTTCTCACGTATTTCACCCACTAAAATATACAGTCAATTCACTTTACAGCATATTCTAGAAGATGTGATAAGGCGCTATATCAAATGCAAGGATTATTATTAAAATAAATTCAGTAATTTTTCTGCTTGTTGTTTAGTGAACATTACTGCCACAGATTAACTGCTGCGTTGGTGTATGTAACAAATTACCATGCTTTAGAATAACTGTTATCTGCATTGAGATGTATGAGATGCTGTATCAAATACAATGTTTAAAATGTATATTAATGGTTTGTTTTAAATGTTTACTTTGGGAATAACTTACAACGGTCATTCTGCATTCTCTGTAGTTAAACGCCACAGCCCATTTGCGCATATCAAAGTGCCACAAACAAGCATGATGTGAACAATCGGTTTTATTTGGGGTGTTGTTGGCCAGGACACCGTGTTTTAACATCTCATCCAAAGAACGGCACGTCTAACAAGGCAGCCAGCAACCCGCACTGCTTTGGCGTGTCAGCCTAGACCAGGGTGGTCCAACAGGCGACCCGCGGGCCGTATCCAGCTGTTCCCTTTAACTAGCAAACACCTCTTGCTTCATGTTCCCACCCCATCTGCCACACCACCAACGGCATTTTGCCCCTCACTATCTGGAGCTTCATTCCTGGAGACCCTCTGACTCGCTCCCTCCCCCCTTCTTTGAAGGCACATCAAGACCTAAATTTTCCCCTCCCCATCCCACCTCCCTCGGCTCCCAACCCCAGCTCAGTGGCCCAGCTGGTAGTGTCGAGCGCTTTGAGATGTCCTATTGTGAAACAGGTGCTGTTTAACTGTTATGTTCCTGGAAGGGAACCCATCTGGCCCTCGGCAGCCAAAAAGATTGGACCACCCTGGACTTTGACTTCAAAGCCGGACGTGGGGCTTGGACCCACAACCATGAGAGGAGAGTGCTGCAACTGAGCCAGCCTGAGACTAGATAAAGACCATAAGACGTAGAAGCAGGAATAGGCCATTCGGCCCCTCGAGCCTGCCCCGCCATTTAATAAGATCGTGGCTGATCTTCTAACCAAATTCCATTTACCTGCTCTATCCCCATATCCTTCTACACTTTAGAAATCTATCACCCTCGGTCTTTAATATGTTCAGTGACTGAGCACCCACAGCCTTCTGGGGTAGAGAGTTCCACAAATTCACTACCCTCTGAGTGAAGAAATGTTTCCTCAACTCAGTTCGAAAAGGCTGAAACCTTAATCTTGAGAATATGACCCCTAGTTTTAGATTCTCCAACCAGGGGAAACAGTCTCACAACACCTATTCTGTCAAGACATTTAAGAATCTTATAGATTTTTATAATATCACCTCTAATTCTTCTATATTCTAGAGAATATAGGCCTAGTTTACTCAACCTATCCTCATAGGTCAACCCCCTCATCCCAGGAACCAACATAGTGAATCTACGCTGTACCCTCTCTAAGGCGAGCATATCCTTTCTTGAATAAGGAGACCAAAACTGCACACAATATTCTAGGTGTGGTCTCACCAAGACCTTATACAAGGCCTTATATATTTGTGGGTTTCGCCCACAAATATACAGTCAATTCACTTTACAGAATATTCTGTGAAGCGCTTTGAGACATCTAGAAGACGTGAAAAGCGCTATATCAAATGCAAGGATTATTATTATAAAAAGGCAGATCAAGAGGAATTTAGATAGGACAAGTTTAACAGCAGGGACTTATATCCGCTTCTCTGTATAGACTGGAAAACATGGAGGATATTAGTCGTCAATGTTCAATAAAAGGAGAGAGTGTACCTGAGAAAACATTATTATAAGGTCGTGCAGTGGTGAGGTATTTATGGCTGAGTTTGATTAATCGAACAGCAAAAATAACAGGTTGTCTCATTCAAATCAGCCTGCTGAACATGCTGACAATAAGCCTCTTACTGTTTGTGAGATTCAAAACCATTGTGGTAGTTCGTGAATAACAGAGATTTTGATAAGTTGCTGTCAGTGCAATTTACCGGCTTGACTGCCACATGAGTAGCCGCTCACAGACTGAGCTCCTGGTTTCCAGTTCTCAGAATAACAACAACAAATGACACTTGTATAGCGCCCTTCACACCGGAAAGACATCCCAGGGAGCTGGACAGTCAGAGGTTTTCGGACCTGAGCTGGGCGTTGGGGTCAGGAGCGGTGGAGGTGGATGGGTGACCGAAGGCACGGTCGAAGAGGAAGGTCTTTGGACGGGACTTGAAGGAGGCAAGAGAGGAAGTGAGGTGGAGGGATTGCAGGATAGAGTTCCAGGGCGTGGGGGCAGAGATGCTGGATCCCGATCCCCTGATTGTATTAGTTAATGTCGGGGCTTCTCTCCTCCTCTGCCTTCAATAAGCCGTCAAGCTCTCCAGGAAGCTAGCCTTCATGAAGGGCGCTGCATAAATACAAGTTGTTGTTGTTGCTGTCGATTCACATTGCACACCCCAGCAACACTGTTTGTTTCTTCTTCCAGATGATGGTGTTATGCCAGATAGAATTGCTCAGGTGATGGGACCGCCAGACAGGTGTCAACATGCTGCTCATATGATTAATGAACTTATTCACACTGCTCAGGTGAGGGCGTCTACATTATATTTTAAAAAAGCATACTAATGAGAAACGTGAAGTTGAGATAATGAGTGCGGTTCGACATGAGCTTTACTTTTAGTCATTTTTTTCTTCTTAACTCTCTTTTCCCATATTGTGAGGATATTAGCACATTGGGTGCTGCTGCTCTTCCATTTCCTCGCTCAACTTTTGTGAACTACCGAGGACCTGTGAAGTAAATTGATATTGCAGTACTGGTTTCCTGCCATTAGATGGTGAACTACTATGTGTATTCTACACACTGATGACCGCTGTCACTGTCATGCTCTAGGTTAGAGCTGATTTTCTCCTCTCGGTTCTTCTAAATCTATGGTTCACTGGCACTAGTTAAGCGCTTCGTGTGAAGAGCGCTCTACAAATGCATGTTGTTGTCGTTTCTCCATTTCCCCCCCCCTCCCCCTTACCTTACCCAAATGTGAACCTCGATTGTGAGGGTGAACAAGATATTTTGATCACTCCTCACCTGATGTTTACACATTGATCAGATTGGTTATTTTGTCTTCCCCAACACTGACTGACTAGTGATCAGGTAGCTCTGTATAGCTGAGCAATGCACAGGATAAGACATCTGTAGGTTTGTTTTATCTGATGGCCAATGTTCAATGTCTTATGTATCGTCAGCTATGATTATTATTTATAATACAGTGGAAGCCACTTTAGCCAGACACTGGTTACCCCAGACACCAGGTAAATCGGACAAAAGGCTCGGCCCTGATTCATTTGTATTCTTACCTGTGTTAAACATGACGCTTAATTTGGACAAAATCCTGTTAATCCAGACAAAATACCGCGCTGGTCATCTCAGCACCCTCTTACTCTGTCAAGTGGTTTTGGTGTGGAGATGGGAGGAGGCAAATTGTAATAAAGTGTGTTCCTCATTGCAGGAAAGAGACGGTCAATCTGGCTTTGGCGGTCCAGGAAGAGGACGGGGTAGGGGACGTAATGAGTGGAATATGGGACCCCCAGGCGGAATGCAGGAGATTACGTATACGATCCCTGCTGATAAATGCGGCTTGGTTATCGGAAGAGGTAAGCCACCTGAGACTGCTGTTGTGAGAATGAAGAGCTGTGAGCAGCTGCTTAACTAGGGATTCCACAGCACTGTTACAATAGAAGAACAATCGTAGACCGCGGCAGATGTGTAGAGATTTTACGGGACATGCTTTGTTCTGGGGCATGATTGATAATTGTTGTTTGGTTGTTGTATCGGAAAATCCCTATTGACATATGGATATGTATTTGAAAAGGACAAATTTGCAGGGCTTTGGGGTAAGAGCGGGGGAGTGGGACTAGTTGATGAGCTCTTTCAAAGAGCTGGCTCAGGTATGATGGGTCGAATGGACTCCTTCTGTGTTGTAAGATTCTCTGATTCAGTGGCATTTCTGCCTTTAATTTGACTTGATGCTTGGCAAGATTTGCCAATGTGGAGTGCTTTCTGAGCTGTTGTATGCACCACTGAAGCATGGTAAGAGTGGAACAATTTTCAAAGTGATGCAAGCAGGATCCAGAGTAAAATTGCTTGAATGACTATTGTAAGTGGCCCGGGTTCCTGTATTGGTGATACTTACAGGAGTGGTGGGAATCAGGCTTCGTTCTGAGAAGGGGTGGGTTATCATGTGACCTATGTATATGTGACCAGCTCGTCATGTATATTGTGTGGGGATGGGGGGGGGTTGTTTTGTTTGCAGTGTTCTTTCATACATTGCCCTATCCCAGTACAGATAACAGGGAGGAGGGCTTACCTGGGGGAAAAGGTTTGTAGGAGAGAGCTCTTGGCAGTTTGATTAACTACTTTGTGAATGTGTTTCTTTCACACATGCGTTCACATGCTCTCTTCCTGTCTCCATTTCCCTCCATGCCAGTCTCATTTGGGTTATTCTCTCGGTCTCTCTTAAGCTGTTTGTTTCTTTCATTCGTCTTTCTCTGAGTGTATCCCTCTTTGTCTATTGTAAATTCTCTCTCCGCTCGAGTGGGGTGGGGGGTGATGGCTACTGACCTGCTCCACATCCCCCAACCTGCCCATTCCACAATCGGAGGTCAGGTATTTCTGCACCTACCGTCTGGAACTCCATCCCAGGGCCCCTCCCCTGATTGTCTTGGGATGTCCTCCCGATGTGAAAGGCGCTGTGTAAATGCAATTTGTTGTTGTTGTTCTCCCTATCTCGCTCGCTCACTCACTCACAATTGCCTGCCATTATCTGTTCTGCCTTCCCCCACCTCTGCAACATTGCCTGCCTCTGCCAGTATCTCTACCCACTGGCCTGCTCCATGTACCCTGCCCTGCCTGCTCCACTATCGGTGGTCACAACTTCAGCCTTTCTGCAGCCACCCTCTGGAACTCCATCCTGGAGCCCCTCCGCCTTGCCCGCTTCCTTGCCTCCTTCAAGCCCCGTCTTAAGACCTTCCTTTTCGACTGCGCCTTCGGTCACATCTTCCCTCCTTCGCCCCCACTGCCCTCTACCCCTCTCTGATCCCAACCCGCAGCTCGGGTGCAAACCCCTCATTGTCCAGGGCCTTGGGACATCCTCCCAACATGATGTGTGCTATATAAATGTAAGTTGTTGTTGTCCATTGCATTCTTCTCTCTCGCACTGTGTTTCACTGCTGATTGACATCACGTCTTGTGTTCTGCAGAGTGAACAGGGAGATTGGCAGATTCCATTTCCTCTTAAAAAAAAAGGCTGCCAGTAACTTCATTTCCTGCATTTTGTCCATGGGCAGGAAGTATTGCTGGCATCTGGGAAGCTGCCATGCGTGACTGTCTGAGGCCATGTGCTTGGAAATGGGGGCGCTAGTGGGGAGTGAGTAGTTAAGAGGGTATTTTTGTGTGTGCTGTGGATTTTATTTAATAGAGGATTTTTTTTAATGGCTGAATCATTTCAGGAGTAGAATGGTTTAAAAGCTAGGGCCTGGTACTGTACACTAGACTTCAGATTTGTATAAATAGTTAGTGTGAGGTTTAATGGCTGTAGTGAGACTGAGATGAAGTGTGGAATGGACAGGGATGGCTTCACCTGAACTGGAGTTTTGGAGTTTTTGTTGAAATGTGCAGGATAGGAATGTTTCTTGTGATTCTAAATCTTTCTAAACTAGACTGGAGTTGTGGAATTTCTCTGTCTGACCTGCTTTTGTTTGATTGCATGTGCAGGAAAGGAAGACACGTCTGCAGGCTGACTGACCGGGAAAGATTGGGTAGATTCTAATGAGTTATGGAATAACGAGGATCATAATGTTTTTAAAAATGGAAACTCTTCTAATTAAAACTGTTCGGTTCCATCTTTCACACTTGTAGAGTATGTTTGTCAGATGTATAAACAAGTTACATCTGCAAAGTGAATGTGGCCATTAGGATTCCACCTCCACCCCACTCCCCCGGGCTGGCCTCTCTCACATGCCCCCACCAACCCACACCTGCTATAGTTACAGTCATTGATGTTTGCAGTAGTGCACAAATGATACATAAACTGCATCGCTGGGTTCACCGCGGGTAAGGCACTTGATAGGTCCACTATGTATCATACAGTGTGTACAGTGGGACCTGTAAGTGGGTAGAGTATATATCTGTGTGGTGCATGCCCTTTTTTTTGCCAGTTTGTGATTTGAGTCAGACCAGTTGGCATTGATTTATTTCAGTTCCCGTTGCTGTCTTTATTTTCTCTCTTAAAAAGATGACATTTCACAACTGGGGGCCACGTTTTGTGAATGAAGTGGATACGAATATGAAAAAAAGCTTAACCAGCAAAAGCAGTGTTTGGAGAACTCTGTCAGAGCCACGGGCAGCTCAGAGAGGGCCTTGATTACAAATGGTTGGTGAAAGGATTGATTGTGAAGCATTTGCTTTGGTGGTTTTTGGTCGTTATGCCCTGTCTATGTAGCACGTTTAAGCTATCGAGTGTAAAAGCACTCTCCTGTCTGTATAGTAAAACAGGATATCTTTCATCCTGTTCATCCTGTGCTGTAATTTGTTATTCGTGTTTAATGTCAATACTTTGTGGTGGGTTAATCTACCCTCTCCCTCCCCTCCTCAATATACCCTGAGCTGATCACTTGCTATTTCTGAAGGATGCTGCAGCCAGTTCCCAGGTCAATAGTCAGACATTTTATTTCTGGCCTTTGCCTGTTGCGTTTATCAGTGCGTAATCTTAAGGTGTCGGAGGAATTTGGAGAAGGTTTATACCTGTGTCCCCCTGCATCACCGGTTTATACTCTCCAGGCATTGTAGAATGGAACCAACAGACTTGTGTGTGTTGTTTATTTACAATCACTGGTGTAAAATGTTTCCTGCATCAACCACATATGTTGGGTGTCTGGCACACAGGGGCAGTGGTTAAGATATTCCAGTGTAAGACTCCTGTTGCTAACCCTGTGCAGAGTTTTTTTTAAAGAAAAAGTCTTGTCAAAAGTTATTGTTGGCCAGAGGCTTTCCCTGCTCTCCAATATTGACCAGGAATGTTTCTGATGCTGTTCTGACTGGCATGCAGCAGGTGACTTGGAGAATAACCATTTTAACAGCGGTAGGTCCTGATCCCAGGGCAGCCGGTCTGAGAGCAGGGAAATAAAGCCGTGAGGAGTGAGATGGTGCTTCAGGCTGATGGTGCTCAGCAGCTGTTGAATGGCAGCTCCCAACTGAAGGGGGAGGAGAGACATTAGCTGCCATGGTAGTCTCCCCAAAACTCACTTCATTCCTGATTATCCAGAGCACTCGCCTCGCAAGCGAGAGGACTGGGTTTGATTCCCGGCAGGGCGAAACATTGGGCAAGTTTCCTTACTCCACATCCCTCTGTTTACCTAGCAGTAAGTAGGAACCCGGTTGTTAGTCGATTGGCGGATCGCTTTTCCAGGGATAATAATCCCTTCAAAAATAAGAAAAGAAATGTAGTCATTTAATCCACGACTATTTGTGGGCAATGCTGTGTGCAAGTGGCTGCTGCATTTCTCCAGGTCAAGCGGAGGCTGCAAGTAGTGGGTTGGGGAATAAGCAGATCGGAGCGGTAAGTAAGTGCCAGGGCATGAAGGGATTTGAAGAGGAGAATCTTGAAATCAATCCATTCAATGATAGGGAGCCAGTGGAGCCTGGCTAGAACTGGTGTGATGGGGGCCCAGAGTTTATTATGGGTGAGTAGTTGGGCAGAGGAATTTTGAATCAGCTGGATTTTGTGGATCTGGGGAGACCGGTGAGGATGGCATTTGAATTGAAAACAACAACAAGATTACATTTGTATAGCGCCTTTCTCGTCGGGAGGACTTCCCAAGGCGCTGGACAGTACAGCATTTCAGACCCGAGCTAGGGTCAGGACGGGAAAGGGGAGGGGAAGGGGGCTGGCCGATGGCATGGTCGAAGAGGAAATGCAGGTTTATTTCCAATTAAGTGGCTCTGTGATCCCTCCCCACATTGCGGTGGGCATAAATCATTGGTGACCACCAGAGAGGATTTGCCTAATGGTGAACCACGTATTCAGTTGTTGTCCTTAAACATCCCACCACCCATCACCTGAGTCCTTATTGAAAGGATCGATTTCAATACGATTGTTGGGCAAGTTTCCTTACTCCACACCCCTCTCTTTACCTAGCAATAAGTAGTTAGTCAATTGGCGGATTGTTTTTCAGGATTAATAATTCCTTTTTTTTAAAAAAAACTATTAATAATTTGGTCACTCAATCCACAACTGTTTGTGGGACACCGCTGTGCGCAAATGACTGGTAGGTTTCGCCCACAAAACATACAGTCAATTCACTTTACGATATATTCTGTGAAGGGCTTTGAGACGTCTCAACAACATAAGGCGCCATATCAAATGCAAGCATATAAATATATATACATACACACACACATGTCTTGTACTAAATTACCTTACCTTTAGTATTCAATGTCTCTATATAATGTAGAGTATATATTTAGTGTCCCTATATATATTACTTGCTGTTGAAAGGTAGGAGTGCAACATAATGAAAAACAACTCCATTTGTCCTCTATTACCTTGCACTCCCAACTTTTAATAACAACTTGCTTTTATATAGGGCCCTTCATGCAGGGTAGCCTCAGACACTAAAAAACCTTTATCTTAATCTGCCTGCTCCTCCACTGCCTTAAAGGTAGCGCTATTAGTCTCGTTCAGTTGGTAGCACTCTCACCTCCAAGTCAGAAGATGGTGGTTTCCAGGCTTAGATTGGGATTTTGAGCTGGTGGTTTAGGCTGGCACTTCTTTGCAGTCCTGAGAGAGCGCTGCATTGTTGGAGGTGCCATCCTTTGGTTGAGAAGTTAAACCGAGGTCCTGTCTGCCTATTCAGCTGGGTGTTAAAAATCCTCGGGCACAATTTGGAAAGAGAAGGGAATCTCAATTTACAGTATATTCACTTTACAGTATATTCTGTGAAGCATTTTGAGACGTCTCAAAAACATGATAAGGCGTCTTACCCAATGTAAGGATTATTATTATCAATCTAATGCAAGTTCTGTGTCTTTGTTGGGAAGTGGAGATAGAGAAGTCACCTTATCCATGAGCTAGTAGTCTGGTATAGAGCATCCTGTAAACTGTATGTAGCTGTAGAAGGGCGATGAACGAGTAACTAGAAAGGCTGCCAGTGAGCTTGGGAAGATTGTGTGCCCAGAACATTCCCACTCTGTGAATCCAAACCTTTTCTCCCAAAGGTTATGCTGATTCACTTCGACAGCTACTTATTTTTCTAAACTTAATTTGGATGCTTTTTGTACTCTCAACTGGTCAACTTATTACTTATTGTACATTAAATGTCAAACAGTTACTGATGTGAAGCTTGTGAAATGCTAATAACTTAAACTCCCACAGTGTGAACATTATTATAAAATAAAGCACAAGGAGGTTGAGAACAGGTGGCTTTTAGGGTTGTAAAAGACCTACTTTTCCTTCATCAAAACTCTGCTCTTAAGTCTCTGTTTCTGGACAGTTAAACTCCTTAGGACTCCTTAACATTTTCATGAAGAGAATAATGAAGTGGCTTAAATTTCTGACACAACCCTTGACCTGCTTTAACTAAACTACTGATGACTGAATGGGGCTGTTTTTAAGAAGAAACGTGACTGAGATTACCCAAAATTGCGTGCTGTCCCCCCTCCCCTCCCCCCCCAAATCCTGCAAACAAAAGAGACCAGTTCATTTGACTATATTGTGGTTGTGAGAACAGGGATGGGTGAAGGAACACACGCTTTGAAAACCCAGTGCTGCATTGTGCACATTCACAGCTTCACGTGAGTTGCAATGCGCTGAAGCTAATGTGACATTGATTGTCGGTGGCTGAGGTTTGGGTTCATGATCCTGTGTGAATCCCCCCCCTTTCTTTAGCTCAAATGGGAGTCGGGCATTTTTTTCCCCCTTCTGTTAAGGGAATGCAATTGAATGTGACAGCACGGCAATGGCTCATGGTCTTTTCAGGATCACTCTATCTCCCACTCTCTAAAGTTGATGTCCGGCATTGCCTTTTCAGCGGGCCTGACCAGCTGAAAGAATTCTGAAAGACGAGGTGGCAATAGAAACGTCAAGTGCCTTCTGTGTTGATGAAGGCAGGAGCTGGAAGATAAATCTTGCTCCTCTACACCGTATTACCATGATAAAAAAANTTGATGGATAATTCTGTAGTGCTGGGCACTGTCACCGCTGTCTTTTTAGTGGTTTGATTAATTGCTTTACAATTTTCATCAAGTACCATTGCAGTCGGTTTCACATTGCACCCCTGTCAGGCAGAAGAATAGACCGACTGTTGAAAGTGTCTGTGGCTGGTCACCAAGCGCCTTGTGAGTGACCTGCCTTCCCCCCTTCTCCCTGGTGGGTGCATTAACCAGCAAGGGCAGCCCTTTAGACCCACGCGGGGGGAGGGAGGGCACAGAGTGAGGGGAGCAGTCAGATCGAGCACACAGAAATGAGCAAGTAATTGATGTTAGGACATAAACATTAGATTTTAATCAGCGTGTGGATTTGAAAAGCCTTTGAGCCCAGATTGTTCAGTGAATAGAGCTCTGTAGAGAAGGCGTAAATTGGCTACAACCAAGAAGGCCACGCTTTAATTGATTTTGTAGGGGAGTAGCAGAGTTTTTTTTAAACTGCTAGGCTTCCATATGTTTAACAGGTACTGTCCCTGCTGTCTGCAAACAGCACAAAGGGCTGTAATTAAAAGGGCACTTTCCTCAATCACTGATGTAGGGGAGAATTGTGCTTAAAGATCTTTGTGAATTTAACATGAAAATTAATCTTTTATTTGCTTGCCCTGACCTTTCAAAAGCTTTTTTCGTAAAAATTAAAAGTTTTGTTTCTGGGACTCGTAGAAATTAACCATTCTCCTATGTGCAGCTGAGGAAGCTGTTCGGCTCAACTACAATTTGTACTCGGACAACACCTTTCGTGTAGGAAGAGTGTCACAAAGAGGCTTTACACAGGCTGGGGAGAGGTGGGCGTGCAGTCAAAGAGAGAGATCTTTAAACCAATTTTGAAAGCAGGGTATGTGAGGCAGAGTGATTTCCAAAGTGTTCGAGAGGGTAGAGTCTTTTACTGACTAACAAGTTACAAATGACATCCTTTCTCTCTCTCTCCATCACTCTGAGACCAGTTCTCTGCCTCCTGGACCTCTCCACTTTGACATAGTGACCATGCCAACCTCCTCCACCCTGTTTCCCCTCCCCGATTTGGCCCCCACTCCAGCTCGGGTGCCCTCTTATACTGTCCACCACCTTGGCACATCCTCCTGACATAAAAAGTGCTATATTAATGTAAAATTGTATTGGAAAGGTCGCTATATAAATACAAGTTATTGTTGTTGAAAACTTGCTCACATAGTGAGCGGAGGGCATGAAGCAGGCCAGAGTTGACAGAACCACAAGAATGGGGTGACAGGAGATGAGTGAGGTATGGGCAAGGCCATAGAGGCATTTAGAGGTAAGATTGAGAATCTTAGTCTATCCAATGGAGAAGGGATGAGGGTGGGATAATGGGCTTATGGAGTTCGGGATGATCTGAGCTTGTGGAGGGTGGAGCCGGGCAAGCACAGGGCATTGGAGAAGTCCAATCTGGAGGGGACACAGGAATAGACAAGGGCAGTTTGCTGCGTTAAGCTTCAAGAGGAAGAGACAGGTGATGTCCTGTAGGAGAACGGAGTCCAGATGAAAGGTTGTAGGAGAGCTGAGGGCTGAACAAACTACTGTGAGTTGTAGTGAGCGTCGGGGAGATTGGTACAGTGAGTGCCTGAGATGGGGAGATGCTGGCGGAAGCTTTGTCAGTGTTGAATTGGAGAAGGTTACACCTTTCCAGGACTTGATGTTTGACAGGTTATCTGGCAGAACAGCAGTCGTCCTGGAGTAGAGGCAGAAATGCAGTCGAGGTCATCCGTGTACATATGGAAGTGGACCACATGCCTGCGGTTGATGACACCAAGTGGGAGCAAGAAGATAGGAACATAGGAATAGGAGGAGGCCATTCAGTCCATCGATCCTATTCCACCAGGTTTAGATCTTGTCAGATCTTTTAATCTTTAATTTGTGGAGTCCTGTTGTGTATTGGTTAGAGCACTCGCCTCGTAAACGAGAGGATGTGGGTTTAATTCCCAGGCAGGGTGAAATGTTAGGCAAGTTTTCTTACTCCACAAGCCTCTGTTTACCTAACAGTAAGTGGGAACCCGGTTGTTAGTCTATTGGCGGATCACTTTTCCAGGGAAGTAGTCCCTTCAAAAAAAAATAATAGTTTGGTCATTCAATCCGCCACTGTTTGTGGGACCCTGTTGTGTCTCTTTTAATCCCTGGTGATTCCCCCCGTACAGCTTTCTGGGACAGAGCTTCCACATCTTCACAACCTTCTGTGAAGAAAAGGAGAGAACTGTGCCAAAATTGGTGCTCCCTAATCCAATGGAGCTGTTTACCCTCGTCCAAATTCCCTGCTTCTTCAGTGTAACCTTAAAAGTGTTCCTCATTCAATGTCTATTCAATTTCCTTTTAAATGTTCTGGTCTCAACCTCGCAAGCTCACTCGAGGTAAACAATTTTATGTTCTCATGACCTTCCGGGTGAGAATCTCTTCTAACCTCCTAATTTTGTGATAATCCTGATTTTATGCCCCTTGGTACTGATTAGAGCAGGAAGTGAGGGATGAAAAATGTAATCGATTTGGGGTTAATTCTACTTTGGAAAGTTAAATGCATTTCTTTCTCTTTCCAGTTTACTGGGAGGTTTGGTAATATCAGTGTAATCCAAGAATTTATCTTAAACTCTTGCTCCAGTGCTTTAACTAGTATTCGTGAATAAGGTTTTGACTTTGTAACCATAGGAATAAGACAGACAGGGCACCATCTTCAGTTACATGGCTGTTGCAACACCAGTGTGTAATGTTGCAATCTAATTCCTTGCATTCTTTGCTTGTTGCTCACGACCAACCTCTAGCAGGTGCCTGTGTTAGGTATAAAAAAAACTTGCATTTAATATAGCATTTTATGGTGTTAAAGCACTTCAACACAGAGCTACTTTGAAGGGTAGGGACTTGAGTGTTGGTATTTTCCCCGTTGAACTTCACAAATGCAGTGAAGGGAATAAACGTTTTTTAATTGAGGAGGAATCTTGGGCAGCATGACAGAAAAATCCCTGCTCTTTGAAGTAACCATGGGATCTGTAATGCACACTGCAACCTTGGTTTAACAGCTTAGCAGAAGGGCAGCATCTCCGACAATCGGCGCTGCATTTGAGAATCGTCCTGAATTCTGAACCGGGACGAGGCTCAAAACCCACAGACTCCACACACGAGAGTGCTTCCAATTGAGCCACTGAAGTGATGCAACCATGTCTGGTTTCCATCTAGTGGACTGGTGACTAGTATGTTACTTTGTCCTATACCCGTGGTTTGAGGAGCCTTATATCACTGTGAGGTTACCAGGCACACGTAACGGGATCAGCTATTGTGGAAGGTGTTGACTGCTGTGACCTGACTGACGGTTGTCTTGTTTCTCAGGTGGAGATACTATAAAAAGCATAAACCAGCAGACGGGAGCACATGTGGAACTGCAGAGAAACCCACCTCAAACCTCTGACCCTAACATCCGAGTATTCATCATCCGCGGAGCTCTACAACAGATCGAGCATGCTAGGCAGTTAATAGAAGAAAAAATCAACGGGGTGAGTAGCTTTTCACTGTCTGTTGGTGGTGTTCGCAACAACAACTTACATTTATATAGCCCTCCAGGCGGGTAATGTCCCGGAGCCCACAGCAACAAGTGTGGATTTGAGATTAAAGATGGATCAGTTGCATTCTCTATCAAGGGGAGATATAGTTTCCTGTGCGGCCTGTTCTAGCCAATTCAGCTGGCACACAGGAGCCCTGTGAAGGTACTCCTCTTCACTCCTCGGTAGTGAATCTTCCAAAACACTGCTTCTCCACTGCTTTCCCATGTCAGTGGTCCTCAAACTGCATGGGGATCATTTGTGCACTTTATCCAACAGAGTTCAAAGGTATTTGACCATTGAAGTAGTGTTTGGGACAAAGTCATTGTTCACTTGTTCACTTCACCAAAAATGGGCCAATGAAATGAAATCTCCCCTGGAATTAAGTAACCCAATGGAACCATCTGTCAATCTTCAGATAGGCAGGAATATTCTCATTCAATTGTTTTTCTCCCAAGAAAATGCATGTTCATATTTTTAGTTTAAATAATCTTCCCGACAAGAGTTGTGTGTGTATGGCCTGAAACTCAGCTAGGAAAGACTTGCTTACTAATGTATCCTGGTCCATTTTCCTTGCTTCTTAAAGCTGACCCAAAGTCAACACTAAGCTTTGCCAGGGGCATTTTTATGATCTAAACCTGGAGGAAGAGGAGAAGGAGATCCACAGAGTGTACATTGAAACACTGATACATAATCGTTGCTACAAAATAATTAGTAGCAAAGAGCAGAATAAAATGAATTAATCCCATTGTTGATCAAATTGAGGGAAAAGTGTGAAAACATAACCAGCTCATTACTCCTTCTGTTGTTACTGGTTTAGGGCCCCGGACCGAGCGGACCTGGAGGATTTAATGCAAGTCCTTATAGCCAAGGACCACCTGGACACCACCAAAAGTAAGAGGCCTAATAATTGCTCACGATTTATGTTTAATAAATAATAATAATAATCCTTGCATTTGATAAAGCGCTTTTCACGTCTTCTCGACATCTCAAAGCGCTTCACAGAATAAACTGTAAACTGAATTGACCGTACATTTGTGGGCGAAACGCGGCAGCCAATTGCGCACAGCAGCGTCCCCACAAACAGTCGTGAATTGAAAATGACCAATTTATTATTGTTTTGGAGGGATTATTATTAGTCCATATCCAGGCTCCACCCCTTTCTTGTGCCCAGCTCTACCCAGGCTCCTCCACGCCCTTCGCACACCCCTGGTGCCTGGCTTCTCCCCACCATGGCTGGCTACTCCCCCTGGGCATCTGCCCCCCCCCCCCCCCCCCCCCAGTATCCGGCTCCACCCCCTTTGATTTGAGTAAAAGCCGTGGCAAAAATGGATCCTGTCGCAGTTACATGTGGAAATCTATTTGTGGTTGAGTGATGGCGATGCTGAAATGTACTTTGTGATCAACTTAACTTTGTTTTTCATTGTAGTGGCCCACCGCAAGCCTTCATGACGCAGGGTTGGGGAAGTACATACCAGCCGTGGCAGCAGCAAGGACAGCAGGACCCGAGTGAGTTACTACAACAACTACTTGCATTTAGATAGCGTCCTGCACCCCGGGTAGCATCACCGAGTGCATATTCCTCACCCCCAGATGTCCCCTGCTTACATCCAGTGACAACAAGATGTTTCTCAGCATTTACTTGTTTTTCTCAGTCCAGTCCAATACTTATTCAGAACTTCTTAGTTTGGTCCCATCTCCTCGTGAGTCCATTGCCCCCAGATTCCTCTGATCGCACGGCACAGAGAGGTGTGGGTGAGGGAGAGAGGCAAGAGAACAGGATGGTACATGCTGTCACTGTCACAGTCCAATCCTAATCTACTACAGTCCTTTCATTCATATCTACTTTAGTTGCAAATGTTTTTGAATGATCACGCTTAAACTAAACTGCTTCAACGCAAATAGCCAGAGTTCAGGTAAGATGTATTGAGCTGCTAGTGTTTTTCAGGTGACATAATTGCATTCTTTAGGAAGTATTTTGAAGAGTAATGTATCATTTTCCCCCATATGTGAATGTCCATTATAGTGGAATCATATGATCATCCTTCTATTTAATATGGCACCTTATCAAGTTGTTGAGACACGCTTCCTGTGAAGGGTCAAAGAGACGCTTCACAGGACATACTAAAAAGAACAATCATTGTGTATTTTGTGGATGAACTCGGTATCCAATTTGTGCACAGCAGCATCCCGCAAACAACCATGGAACGAGTGACCAATTTTATTTTAGGGGATTATCGGCCAGGACACCGGGAGAGAGAGAAACTCCTTTCTATTTTTGAATAGTGCCGTGGGATCTTTACCGTCCACCTGGACAGGCGGTCGGGGTCCTTGGCTTAACATCTTCATCTGGAGGACAACATCTCCGACATACAGTATTGCACTGGAGTGTCAGCCTAGACTATGTGATACATAGTACAAAGCACTGCAGTGATTAACAATACTATCGAGTAGCTGAGTAACCCCAAGCAACAGAAATAATAAATATCATGTTCTGCAGTTTTAATATTTGACACCTTATATAACAGTCTGTGAAACTTGTCATTTTCTTTAACCTTCCCACAGACCAGAATGGTGGACATGCAGGTCAGATGGATTACTCCAAAGCCTGGGAAGATTATTACAAGAAACTTGGTAGGTACTAGAAGCGAGGCTTGAGCTTGACTTCTTGGGTTGCTTTGGCTACACATGTGAACATTTATTATTTCTGTTGCTTGGGATTTCCTTGTGTACATTGTTCCACGGCAGTGTTAGGAAGTGTTTCAGTTGCCTTAAGCCGCAGTATTGCGCCCTTTATTTCAGGGTATAATGGTTTCAGTCTCTGCTGACTTCCCAAGTGCTGACTTATGCTAGGTCCCCTGGTGCGTATGAGAAAGTTGATTGTGTTATGGAAAGCTGAGCAATGAATTGTCGCTGGTTTCTAGATGAGGTGGGAAGGGAAGTAGAGAGAACTTCCTGAGGAAAGAATGCTTGGACGTTTCGTCCACAAAACATAGTCAATTCACTTTACAATATATTCTGTGAAGCGCTTTGAGACGTCTCGAACACTTGATAAGGCGCTGTATCCAATGCAAGGATTATTATTATTATTGGACACCAGAGGTACCAGTCCTGACTGTTTTGCCCTCATCACCCATTCTGGCCAGTTTTGTTCATTGGCTTTTTGCTTCAAGCTGTATTGTGTACCTATCAGCAGGTGGATTACACTGTCATTCGTTGACCTTTTTTGGATGTTTCTAATTTCACCACAAAACCGTAGAAATTGACCAAACAGCAGGAGGCCATTGAGTTCACTACTTTGTGTTGGTGTTTACCATGCAGCCCATTCCCAGCTCCCTGCTCTGTCCCTGGCCCCTCTGCAGCTGCCTGTCTATTTCTCTTTTAAATGCCCCCATCAACTCTGCTCTAAAAGCCTTCCCTCCCACCCCCCAGCAAATCATTGCTCCCTCTGACAAGCCTCTGGGAGAACTTACCCCTCCTGTTATTCCCTGAATATCTGGAATTCACAGCCTGTTGTCCACAAAACCGTGACCAACATAGAGAGTTTTTCATAAATCATCCTCTCAAATCGTTTCAACAACAACAGAAGACGAATTGACATTTATATAACACCTTTCGTATCAGGAGGACGACCCAAGGCACTGGACAAGCCATGATTTGTACCTGAGCTGGGGGTGGGGGAGGGTAAGGATGACCGAAGGCGCGGTCAAAGAAAGTCCTTGAAGTAGATAAGGGAAGGGATGAGTCTCAAGGACTCCAGGATGAAGTTTCAGAGAGTGAGGGTGGGTAGGCTGGAAGCAAGGACATGATGCAGGACAGTGCCTTTACCTTAAACATTATGTTGAACAAACTTCTTAGTGGGAAAAGTCCTAAACTTCTTAGTCTCTCCTCATAGCCTTATCTTTTTATCTCTGGTAACATCCTTGTGCACCTAAGGTGCTCTTCTCCTTTACTCTCGTATCCTTGTTATAAAGTGGACCCAAACTGCACACACTGTTCTATGAGACAGTGAATCAATATAGAATCCAGTATTGTATTATTGTCCTTCAGTCTTGTCCCAGGTATAGTCCAATAATAACTGGTCCATAAATGGGTGATGGGATTTGAGCTAACTTTCTAATAATTCCTTGCTACTGTGAAAACAGGCTTTGCTTTTCGTGAGATGTATCTGGCCCATTCGGTGTAAGTGAGCCTGGTCTGGTTCTGCTGGAGGCATGAGATTGTATCTTTCAGAAACTGTATGAATTTCTACGATTGATAAAATATAATGTGAAAGCCAGCATTGAGCTAGCTCTCACTGTCTGTGTTCCAGAAATAAACTTAAATCAATTTACTGAGCACTGCAGTCATTGGTAGCTTGTTGTATATTAGGTCTTTGTTTTTATATAAAAAAGACATGAGAGCCTTTGTTGGCTTAGCAGGTGTAACCTGTAGTTAGTCCTGACCTCCCTATTTAAGGCTCTTGTCCTATGTCTGTGGTCAAGCTCTCAATGTCCATTTTCCTTGTGTCCAGCTACAGCCTTTTATGTCTAAAATCTCCCTTCCCCCGCCTCTTTAATGCCATTTGCAGCCTGCGTGAAGGACAAAAGGGCTCTTCAGGGTCAAAGATGCTTCAAAAGGCAAGGAAGGGATTCCTAAACTATTGATGTAGATGGTTTGCTGCTGGGCTCTCCTGCCTGCTGCTGACTTGTGCCATCTCCTGGCTGCTGATATTGTGTCTGGCTCTGATTTAAGGCGACCTGGGTCTGCCCCAGGCCAGAGCCAGACCATCTTCCCTCAAGAGCCCCGTTGTGTGAACACGTGCAGGATCAAAGCAACTTCAGCAATAAAAGATGGAATTGTTGTGATCCAGTCAAAGTAATTTGGATATCAAGAGCTCGACAAAACAATCCAATCAATCTCTTAAGATTTTTTTTTATTTGCCATTTGCCCAAAACTATTATTTGCCATCTGGGAGGTGAAAATTTCTGAAAAATAGCAATGAATCATATAAAGGATGATACTTAATGTTATAGATTTTTCCCTGAATAGTTACTTAGCTCGTTAGCATTGCTGATGCTGTTTATCCAACACAATTATCCATTAGGTTTCTCCTGGTGTCTTGGCCAACAATTTCACCCTCAAAATATGCAGTAATTCACTTTACAGTATATTCTGTGAAGCTCTTTGAGACAGGTGCTATATCAAGTGCAAGGATTATTATATTATTATTAGCTAGTTAAAAGCCCAGGCACTCCAATCTTAATTTGGCAGTGCAAGGCGGTGTCAACAGTGTTGTGTTTATGCGGGGAAATGTTGCCGAGGTGTGATCAGTGTAAAATGGAACAACTTTAAGATTTGTCATTTGCCTTATGCATCAATGTCTCACAGAATAATTATTGTCCTGTGTGAAGGTTGTTTTTCTAGATATTTATAGACAAATTTGTTGAGTTGTTACCAGTGACGGATGAGGTGCTTTATGATGTGTTTTTTTTTCGAATAGACCAGACACTTCCTGAAAAATATTTCCCTTTGATATTACACTTACTGCAATTCTGATTTGAAATAGAATGTTCTTTGTGTTTATGTGACAGGGGTTCAGGATTTGTGCTTATTTGTCAAACACCTTTTTTTGTGTGGGTGGGGAGTGGGGGGAGATGAACACTATAGTTGTCCTCAGGGTGATGAAAAGACACCAGTGTTCTGAGTCCTGATAGCTAACTGCAAGGATTATTTGTCGCCTGATGTTTTGCTAGATGTGTGGCTGTGGATGAGTACAGGCTCCCTCCACTGGCCAGCACTGTGAGGATGTCTGCGCCCTCATTCCCACATTAGTTGCTGCCATCACCGAAGGAGCGAGGAGAAAATCTGGGATTTGTCTGCGCCCCTCTGTGCTGAATTCAATGCCGAGCTGAAATGTCGCTGGCACGCACACCTGTTGATTGCATCTGCCTAAACATTGCTCTCTGCTCTGTAATTTCTCACGTTCCCAGCATTGCTCAGGCTGTTTATCCATAATAATTATCAATTAGGTTTCTCCCGGTGGCCTGACCGACAATTCCCCAAATAAAATTGGTCACTCACTCCATGGCTGTTTGCGGGACATGGCTGTGCACAGATCGGTTGCCACGTTCACCCACAAAATACAGTCATTCCACTTTACAGTATATCCTGTGAAGTGCTTTGAGACGTCTTAACAACCTGGTAAGACTCTATATCAAATGCAAGGTTTATTATCATTATTATTATTTATCATTACCGATCTCGAGTCAGGGAAGGTAACCAGGAGTTACAGATGTTATATAGATGTCCATGATGAGTTGCACGTGCCTGTATGTTGGTCAGGGCAAGGACTTGGCTCAGCTGAGATTGTATCTCCTTCCACTCCAACCCCCACCCACTATACCCGGGGGACAAGCTGCAGGTCATAGGCTGTTACTCAGTCCTACCTCTGATCACTGATGGCTGGGAATAGGGAAAAAGGAGAAGAAAGGAGAAAAATGGCAAAGCAAAGTGAGATCAGTTTTCGGCCCCACGGCAGCCATGGTTGTGTGCTACCGGGTTAGATATCTCCATCTTTCCACATGACTTTGAACTTATCAACAAATTGGGAGTTTAGAGAAATAGCAAAAGCAGGTCCCATCACTGCATGTGGACAACTTGGCCAATCTCTGCTGCCTTGTATGAGTGAGGTTTGTTCTGATGTTGACCTTCTTGTTCTCAGCCCAAGCTACAGGCACTGCCCCCGGGAATCCGCAGCAGAGCTCACAGCCAGACTACAGTGCCGCGTGGGCAGAGTATTATCGACAGCAAGCAGCCTATTATGGACAGGCCACGCAGCAAGGGCAGGCCCCTGGGCATCAGGTACGCACCTCATCACCCACAGAGTAGTAGTAATAATAATAATAATGATCCTTGAATTTGATATAGCGCCTTATCACATCGTTGAGGCGTCTCAAAGCGCTTCACAGAATATCCTGCAAAGGGAATTGACTGTGTATTTTGTGGGTGAAACACGGCAGCCAATTGCGCACAGCAGTGTCCCACAAACAGTCGTGGATTGAGTGACCACATTTTTTGGGGGGGAGGGATTATCATCCCCTGGAAAACGATCTGCCAATCAACTAACAACTAGTTTCCTACTTGCTGCTAGGTAAGCAGAGTACAGGACAAGCAACCTGTACAGAGGTGGGTGTTGAGAGGGTGTCAGGGACATGAGGACAGGAAGCGGGTAGGAGGAATAGTTAGCTTCAGCATCTCTAAACTGGGGAAGCAATTTAAATGAACCAACCTTCCTGTTCATCATCAGGGCCAGGCCAGCTTTCCTCCAGATAAGATCGTCACTCACTTTGTGGCTGTCATCATCACACTGCTGCCACGTTCCCCTATACAATAGTCACTACACTTCACAATCCTGTGAGAGGTTTTGATGGCGTAAGGCACTATATCGCATGTAAGGGCTATGATGGCTGTGAATGGCTGCTGTTGGCAAACAGGCAGGAGTCAGTCTGCAGGGACTTCGTGTCTAACCTCTACACGCACAGAACTGGGCCCCGGGGGCAAACTTGGCAACATGCTCCCAACGGCAGGAGTCACGGCAGGAGCAAATACCTCCATCTTTCCACATGACTCTGAACTTGCCAACAAATTGGGAGTTTAGAGAAATGGCAAAAGAAACCTCCAATGGGGGAGCGAGCACCAGCACAGACGTAATGAGGCAAGAGCTTGTCCTGGACTTGTTTTTATGTTGCACCTTTCACGCGAGGTAGCTTCTCGGAGAGCTGAATAATGTTGTAGTTTGATGCCGAGCCGGGGAGAGAGGGGACGTGTTGAGCATAGAGTAAAGTCCCCAGGATGAGGCTGAAGTGCTCCGGAACGCTACCCCGGGTGAAGGGCTCTATATAAATACAAGTTGTTGTTGGAGAGGAACATGCTCCGGTATGATTTTGAAGAGGAAGCGAGGCCGGGGATTGAGGGAGGGTTTCCGGAGGTGAGTGGCACGGTGGCTGGGGTTGGGGGGTAGGAAGGTGGGGGGAGTGGGTGGGAGCGGGTTGCATAGATAGGGAGGGAGGTGCCGGCAAAGGAGTTCAGAATAGCGAGCGCCAGGGCACCAACACAATGTGCTGAATGGCTGCCTTCTGTTTTTGTATTGATCACTGACTTTCTCTCTGTCCTTACTGACCAGATGTTTTCTGATATGTGTATTTTCTCTTTTTTTCCCCCCCCCACCCCATAGGATCAATAATTTGATGTCCTCTTGAAGATATTTGAATCATTGTGGGTTTGAAGCCTTTTTTAGCAAAAGGTCGACAAGATTTGTGACGCCTTGAAGAAAAAAACTTATACTTTTGTTTCTGAACACTAGAAGAGAAAAATACTTATTACCATAACTTTCTAGATTTACCATTAATGGAGTAATAGTGAACTTGAGGGGAGTGCGGCAGTTGAGGACTGAACACTGGGGAGAGGGGACATTGAGCGACAATGCAGTCAGGACAGGCTAGAGTGCGAATGGTGACTCGTTCGTTTTTAAAACAAAAACATTCTTTTAATTCTCCCCCCACCCCACATGGGCAGCACTGCCGGGCAGAACTGAAGCTGGCGATGTGAAGCTTCTTTCTTGAGTGTAAAGTACGTACGTCCCAGTGCAGACGGCAGGAATACTGGTGCTTGTGTCACCTCAGGGTTCAGTCCAGACTGGCATCACGGGAACACTGGGGTGGGGCTGCTGGTTAGTTCAGTACTGACCGAAAGGTACTAATGGCCATGAAATACAGATATACCTAATGTGTGTGTGTGTGTGTGTGTGTGCGTGCGCGTGTGTGTGGACACAAGCACCTCATTGTTGTGAAGTGCAGGAGCTCTGTGCTGCTCAGCACCAGATACAATACTGGGGGCTGGTACATTTTTATACCAGCCTGTCGTTAGTTCTGCTTTGTGACCAGGGGCTGCCAGTCAGGCAGTGAGGAGCACAATGGAGTAAACTTTTTTTTGTTAGGAGTAAAAATGAGAACTGTGAATAAATATTTAATATTTTTTCTCCAAAGTGCATGTTTTATGTCAGTGATTGTCAAAATCGAAGCTTAAAAATGTATTACAGGAAAATCTTTGGCACATTTTGTAACTAATGAATCAGTCAGAATGAGCACTCGTCTGTAACATGGACAAAACGGCAGAGAATTGCCATTCCCACGAGAGCCTGGCCTGACTCACTCCCCCTCCCGTCCTCCCTTTGCTCCTCGCTCCTCGCACTCGCTCCCCCACCCTCTCCTAACTCCCGTTCTCCTCCCTCCGCCCCTCCTTTCTCCCTCTCGCTCTTCCCCTCGCTCCTCCCCTGTAAGAGGCGAGGATCGGGGGGGTTCGCTGAAGTGCTGATGACGTGACTGTCCACCTTCTGGTTCTGTATTCTGCAATTAGATTGCACCTGTCTGTAATTACCTGAAAAAGATGAGACAAAAAAACTGAAAGTACAGGTTTTATTTTTTAGTATAAAAAAGGTTGGTTGTGTTTGGTATACACCTCTAAAGTACGGACTGCATAAAGTCTCCAGGAAACCTGCTAATGACTATTTTTTAATTATTCTTACGTGGTGTGATCTAATATGTATGATTATGTTAGCAAGTGAATGAATTTAGTATTAATTACGTATGTCAAACAAAAAAATTACGTTGATTAAAAAAGGGATGTTATTAAGTTCCTGCTGTTTAACTTGTAGTATTTGACTTTGTACAGTTAACAGTGTAGATAAACCAGGAGCTTTGGTTCTGTTTTTAATGACCTGGAGTTTACTGGACATTCCGTTTAAAATTGTACTGATTTTTTTCTATTAATGCTCGAGATGTCTAACTTTGGAAAGTGCGACTGGTAAATAGCTCTGTGCAGCATGTTCAAAAGATGTATCCCTTTTATTTTACTGACACTTGCATTTTACACTCTATAATAAAATGTCCACAACATC